ACCCTCTTGATAGTTATCTATTTCAGTGCTTGGAAAGACTGAGCTACTGCCATTTTCAGAGTAGTGTCCTTATGCCAAGATTATTGCATTGTTTATTTCATATGGACATAGTAATATACTTTGCCATTCAGGGCATTTTGATCCATTTCCCTCAGAAAATTTGATACAATTAATTGACTTTTCTTGATCCATTATCATCCTCCGCTCCCCAAAATGTTTGGCTTACATCAGATAACAGCTTATATCTTGAGTTTCCAAATTAAATCAGGGAAATGGAAACAATATACACTTCCTAGTGACACTTTATGAATGAAGAAATAGTCGCTTTGAAAAATCTGGGGTTTACGTGATCGGCACTAGTGTTACTGACATCTTTAGTCTATTATGAATGATTGTCATTTATTTTCACGTCACTTGATACAGAATGATAGTGTTAAAGCTATAATTAATTACACTAGTGACAACTGAATTGTGAGCCACATGAAAACAAGATAAAACTTTTAAAAGACCTTAATGCAAGGTTCTTCACTTAGGTCCAAACATCCAGCCATACAAGTTGCTAAGAATATTTCCTGGAATTACTTCTAGGATTAAAGCTGTTAAAAATAATAAGAGCTAGAATGAATAAATATTTACTCTATTTCAGACATTGTTATAAGTTCTTTAAATATATATTAACTCATTTAGTCTCTTTAACAACACTTTAGGGTAGGTGTTATTATTACTAGCATCTTACAAATGAGAACATTAAGGAACAGAAAGGTTTTCTAACTTGCTCAAAGTCACACAGCTGGCAAGTGGCTGAGCTGGTATTCCAACCCAGGTGCTCTGCTTCTAGAAACTGGGCTCTGCATCACTCTTACTGGCTTTTGATGGGGATTATATCAATTCACTGTGGTGATGCTGGTGGCCCTGTGCTGAACTGGACACTTCCTATGTCCTACATTAATTTTAAAAATGAGGAACAGAGGAGTGTTTTTATAATTTTGTTTGTTTTATTGGCAAAATCTTTCAAAACGTGGATTCCATGGAAGTGTGGGGAAGCGTATGATAAAAGGGACACTTAACCGTTGAAGATAGTTGGCCAACGTGGGTGGTGACTATTCATGGTACCGTAATGTTATTCCCCTGCAATATTTCCATGTCAGAGGAGAATGCCCTGGAGTTACTCAGGAGGAAGTTGAAGGGGTCATAGAAATGCTGGAGTAGAGATTTGGGATCAGGGAAATCTATTAAGGGTTCTCATTTGTCATGGAGGCTGCCATGTCTATTGTCTAAATAAGGCATTTCTTTGGCTTTCAGCAGAGGTTACCAGTCCCCTTTATGGTGATGAATATTGCAAGTAAACACTTTTTTCAAGAGAACAGAGATGAACAAACAAGACTAGAATTTCTTTCTCTCCACAGCTCTCCCATTCTAAGAACTACTAATGATCTTGTCCCTATCTGGACTGTTAAAATACATAGCTCTGAGTTTTACTGAAAGAAAGAACATGTTTCCATCATTCTTTTTGCCCTCTTCTGATTATTCTGAAGGAGCTCTGGTCAAGGGTTCCAGGAGCTCTGAATGTAGCTACTGGCAGCCCCATAATAAATTTACGACCTGAGTGTCCCTTAGTTCCCCATAGCCTGGGAGTTATTTCACTGGAAAGTGTGGTCTTCACTGAAGAAGTATTGCAGAACTCTGCTGAGTTGAGATATTTTGGAAAATCTATTCTTTCAGAATTCTCACTTAAAACCTAAAAAAAAGATATGAAAATCAATTAACTTCACACATGAAAAAATTCCTCATATGTTTAATCTTCCTTTATGTAATGTCTTGATTATGTTTGGAAGTAAATTGCCTTGATTATACCTTGGATGGAAAGGAATGCCTTTTAATTAATTTGAAACATGCTGTAGAGGTGCTGATTTGTACCATAGAATGATAAATTGGGTTGAAAGCAATAAGTCTCTCTGATAGGAATGAGTTGCAGTTGGATTTTTATGTTATTTTTGGCTGAGTGATGGACTCATAGCTTTGCTTTCTTAAAGGGACAAACCAAAGAATTTGGGCCTTATTTGAAGGTCAGGCTGGGTTTTATTGGCTTTTGATTACCTGATAATTTGTGAAATTATTTTGTCAACCTTACCTTTTTTTTTTTTTTTTTAATAGACATGGTTTGACTAGGCCGGAGTGTAGTGATGTGATCATAGCTCAGTGCAGCCTCAAACTCCTGGATTCAAGTGATCCTCTCACATCAGTGTTTTGAGTACCTGGGACTAAAAACGCACATCACCATGCCTGGCTAAATTTTGTTTACTTTTTGTGGAAATGGGGTCTCATTATGTTGCCCAGGCTGGCCTCAAACTCCTGGCCTCAAGAGATCCTCCCACAATCCTGTGGTTACAGGCATGAGCCACCACTCCTAGCCCTCTTGTTCCTTTTTTTAAAGACAAATTACCAAAGTCATAAACTGAGACACTGGCATATACAAAGCTAAGAACTCTGATACATATTTGAATGACAGAGCTGGATAAAACAATTCTAGAACAATATGTAGTGGCTATGAGGATATTATCTCATCTAACTTTTTAACTCACTTTTCAGCTGAGGAAACTTTGCAGCGAGATTAAAGAACCTGACCAAGGTCACATGGTTAGTTAGCGGTTTTGCCTGATTTCAGAGTCAGATCTGTTTGATTCCAAACCTATGCTCTTAACTGTTCAGCTCTGCTGCCTCCGGTGTGGCTCTTAGGAATTTGGAGACTTCGTGGCAAAATCCAAGTTAGTAAAGATGCTTAGTCTAACATTTTTGGTGCAAAAGTAATTGTGGGTTTTGCTACTAAAAGTAATGCCAAAACCCACAATAACTTTTGCACCAACCTAATAGGAGGCCTACTTGTGAGTTTTAATGTAGGGATTTAGGTACCGGAGAGCCTCCTGTGTCTTTTATTCTTTAGTTATCTTACACGACCCTATTTAAATTTAGGGTTGATAAAAGATTTAATGCAATAAAAAGCATTATTAGTCTTTGTTATGATGCCATTATTTATTGCCAAGTGTAGGGTAAATGCATCTGATAGCAATAATATATGCACACCCTTAAAATGACCTGGTATGGCAGACACACCCGAATGTGTGTTCTGAGACAGGGACTCTGGGAGCAGCTGACCTGAAGTTTTCATTCCTTGTCTATGAGGAACATCTGAGCCCCTGGCCCATCCCATGGAACATGGGCCATATAGGGGATGGGGCCCTGAGTTTTGGGTTAAATGAACCCACCCAGGTAGAGGCCATTAAAGGGAGGGAAGACAAAGGACCAAATTCTGACTTTGAAACCCGGCAAAACCACTAACCATTAAGGGAAAATGCTATACAAATGGCATGCTGTTTGCAAGCCATTGCAGTTTTCCTGACCAGCTTGCTGCCACTGGGCTGTATGCAAGGTGGTTCTTCTGGCCAGGTGGTGCCCCTGGCCCATGCAGTTATCCTGTCCAGTCCAGCCACAACCAGACTCTCTCCCTTGTATGTAAGCCCCTGATAAAACCCTATGTCTCCTTCGCTGGCTCTAGGTCACTTCTTTGGCCTCTTGAAACTAGTACCATCCCCACTGGAGATGATTGGGGTTTGCCATGACACCAAGAAATTCTTCAAGTGTAAGTAAATGTATGGAAACTGTTTATTTCTAGGGTTTAAAGTATGTTCAATTAAAACAATGAACAACACTTTCAATGAGTAAATCTCTGAATATTTTGCTGACAGAAATTTTATAATAGATCATGGGGGTGACACAGGGTGGTAGATTTATACTAATGTCAAAGAGACCCCTTTCTTTACTTTTTATATCCTGACTTCTTGAAAATCACTGAACTTTTGGTTTCTCCCTTTCTTAACAGAAGAGTCATCATTTCAAAAGAAGTCTCTCTTCATCAGAGAAAGCTTTATAAAATTCAGGAGGGCCTGGAGAATTGTGCTTAAGCCAGATGCTTACTGTACATTGAGATAAATTTGAAGATGTTAAACAACTTCCAAAAACCTGTAATTGATTAATATGAGTTATATAATCCTCATTTCTCAGATGGAGAAATCAGGTCTATAATAGTTAATGTTAGAAGTTATCCAGGATAGTATAGAATTATTCTTCCTGATATTTAATTTCTATTTGGTTTTATTTTAACCCAAGGCAACTAAACACTCAGCAATAAATTTAATTATTTTAATTCTACGGAATAATGTTAAAATATCTTAAGATCACATATGTAATAAGTATGCAATATGGAAAATCTGGAACACATACGCAAAGCACAAAGGAAGAAAAACTTCTTGCCAATCCATTAAACTTCTCTAACAAACATAGGAGAAAAAAGTGTTATTATTGAATAAGCATTGAACCAGAATGTGATGCACATCCCAGGCAATCCATTAAGTGATTTTGGCAAAGACAGAAAGAAGTCTCACGCTTTTACATAGCCAAGCAGATGCAACCCATTACATATATGTTCTCAAGATAAACAAGAACTGATCCTCGAGAGGCTTTACCAGCACCATTTGTTGTAGGCAGTTCATTCTAAAATCACCTGGAATTTGGAGGTGACCATCCGCATTTGGTAATAGCCTTTATCTAAAGGAAAAATAAAATTCCCACTTCTTTATGATAGGAGGTAGACTTGCAATTTGGATCCAGGCATCAATTGAAGTTAGGTTCCTACCCTGCCCAGGAAACTGAGAGATAGGAGCCTTATCTTCCTTGATGATTATATTTCAAAGAGATGGTTCCCAGGTCCTTGTGGAAACATTCCTGGGTTGTAAAATTGGTAAGAGACTTATTTAGCTTTTAAAAAGATTTACATACATTTCAAAGCAGCAGAGAAAGAGCTTACACTTACTAGTTTTCTAAGGTAAATGCCCAAAGAAAAGGGCATGGGGGAAGGTCTCTTTCCTGTTTCTTTGCAACAAAAAGAATTGGCACTTTTTTTTTTTTTGTCTGATTTGTATTTGCCCTTCCACCCATAGTATCAGCATCTCCATGATCCCAGCAGGGCCTGGAGCCTGCCACGGGCCTCAAAGAGGAGAGCTGCAGAGATCGAGCAGATATTCTAGGCACCGGGAATGAGGTAAATTATTTGTAGTAGTTTGCAACTTTTCTGTTGAAGAAGTCTGTCCTGGGGAAAAGAGTTTTTCTCCCTTAATTTTGACCTTTCCTAGAAGACAGCCCTAAGAAACTGAGTCCTATGGCTAATGAGACCAACAGCATTTGTGATGCACACAGCCTTGCTCTGGAAGTCTGTCTAAAACAAAGCCAGTGGGATTTGATGTCTTAGCTCTAATTGTTCCTGTGGGGGACCATTTCTGACCTGTTGGGGGCCATGAGCTTATCTCTGCTCATTGTCCCCCCGCCCCAACAAGGACAAGGCTGCAGGACACACAGGAGGACCCGGTGTGGTTAAAGCCTCCTAAAGGGAGAGCCTGGAATAGAAAAGCAAGTAGGAGGGGCTCCCAGTGCAATGTCTGGAGATGGGTAAATCATGGTTGGGTTTGAAGGGATCATAATCCAGATGACTGGGGAGGCTCAGGAACAGAAGGAGCTTGATAGAGCTGAGGCCGGCGATACCTGGAGGGCCTTCTGAAAGAAAAAGGTCAGCTTGGTACAGACTTGCACTCCGTGGACAAATCCGTCTCTGATCTTTTCAAGGAATTTGAGAAACAGAAGGTGACTAAAGGCCATGGAGAGCTTGAAGAATCACTGAGGCTGTGTGTTGAGGATTACAGAGTGAGAATCAGAAAGGCAGGCTGGAGATGCTGTGGGAAACCAGACTATGCCGCCCCCAGATACACTTCTTTGGCATATTTTGAGCCGGTTATTCAGAAAAACTGCAGACACAGAAATAGCGCTGAAAAGCTATCATCTTGTAGAGGAAATTTGCATCTAACCACATTGGTAAAGCAAACAGGGGATGCTGGCAGAGGTTTTCTCTGAGATCCCCTATTCTAGGTCCAGGAAAGATGATCTCACAGGCAAAGCAGACTGAAGGTCAGTCACTTTTGAAGGTCCGGCAGAGGAACTTAATCACAAGCTCCCATCTCTTCTGTCTGAGGGCTGCTCCCTGAGATAATTCAGCATAATAAGACAGGTTTTGCTTATCCATGGCTTCCTCCCCTTATCCCCCCCAGAATCTGTCACCACCTTCCTCCAGGAGCCCCAGCCTCTAGTTTTTTGTACAGTATAAAATCTTCAGTCGTCAGTCCTTCTTCGGATCTTCTATTTCGTGTGGCTTCCATGTGCATGTACACATAATACATTTGCATACCTTTTCTCCTGTTAATCTACTGTCGGTTTGTTTTATAGCCTCAGATGATCAAACCTTGGTGGGGAAAGAGAATTATCTTTGTCCCTGTGGTATTAAGCACTGAAGGTTTGTACAGGAGAGAAATTCGATTTAGCATGTGAGTTAATCGTACAGGCCTAGAGGGAAGGCCCACATGGAGGCCATGGCTTTTCAGGCCAGTCTGATGGAGCAGATGTGGATCCACTCACTGGGGAAGGCCGTGGAGCAGGAGGCTAAAGAAAACAGAGAATCTGTGATCTGGTTTCAGAGGTGGAAAAACTTGTCAGTGACAGGTGATTTTCTCTCTCTCCTCCTGTCTGTCCATCTGCCTGCCTGACCCTGTCCACAGGCAGGTCTCCTGGCCTCTATTCTTGTGTTTTCCTTTTGACAGAAATCTAAGTGATTCTCAAATGAGATATCTACAGAAAACTAAGTATGAGAAATTTTCACTTCTGGATGTTACACTTCATGCTCTATTTGGCTTATTGAATGTTGATGCTAATCTTTTTTTAAAAGCAAAGAAAAACACACAATCCAGAGTAACATTGGAAACATTTAGTTCTACATCCTCTAAGTCTCTATGTAAATTGACTCTTTCTTTTTGAAATTTATTTTATGTTTTTATTTTACTTTAAGTTCTGGGATCCATGTGCAGAACATGCAGGTTTGTTACATGTGTATACATGTACCACGGTGGCTTGCCACACCCATCAACCCGTCATCTAGGTTTTCAGCCTCGCATGCATTAGGTATTTGTCCTAATGCTCTCCCTCCCCTTCTCCCCCACCGCTGACAGGCCCTGGTGTGTGATGTTCCCCTCCCTGTGTCCATGTGTTCTCATTGTTCAACTCCCACTTACCAGTGAGAACATGTGGTGTTTGGTTTTCTGCTCCTGTTTTAGTTTGCTGAGAATGATGGCTTCCAGCTTCGTCCATGCCCCTGCAAAGGACATAAACTCATTTTTTTTTATGGCTACGAAGACTTGGAACCAACCCAATGCCCACCAGTGTTAGACTGGATAAAGAAAATGTGGCACATACACAAAATGGATTTTCTTAAATTACATCTACCACTCTCTTTAAGGATGTTAATGAACCAATGCAGACATGTTTGATTTGATATGATTTTTTAGTAGCATATACTTCACATAGAGAAGCCTGCACAGGAGCAACACATTTTGCATAATATTTAATTAGTGGATGTTTGCTTCGAAAAGCCTTATGTGACCTGTGAAGCAATCAAAATAATTATAGGCACCAATTGCATATGCAAAATTGAGACCCTGTAGGTGTCCTCATCCACTCTGCTTATACCTCAGAGAATTGCTGGATCCTGGCAAAAGGGCTGTCGGCAGCCACGAGCGTGCAGTGGTGGCTTGCTTTCTCTTCGCTTCAGTGCTTTCCTTTCAAGCAGCAGGGAGATTAAAAAAAATAAAGAACTTCACAATAGCAGTGGAGGAAGAGGAATGAGAACTCTGCAGAGTGCCTTTTGAACTACCAGCTCTAGCATTTTTTGCCTTCACTGCTCATTTGTGCAAGTCTGATCTTGTCCTTTATTATTCAAGAGTAGGGTCCTTCTTCCTGTTAGATTGAGGTTCCTCGAAGCCACAAACCATGTCGTATCCTTTCTGTGCTGCCTGTAGTACTCTAATGGTGAAGATGTAGTGGATACTCAGTAAGGATCTCTGGAGAATCGAACTGAAGAGCCATGGCAGAGTACAATAGGATGGTGTTTTTGAGATTCCTTTTTCTTTTGCACTTCCCTACACAAAATCTCTGTAGTTCGCTTGAGCGTCCTCCTACCTCTTAGAATGGTTACAAGAGGGATACAAAAAGTTAGTATTCCAATTTTGATATTTAAAGTAGTATTTTCTGGTTCTGCAGTAAAACAAAATTTTAGATGTTTTAAACTCCTTTTACTCCTTCCCCTGGCTTTCTGTTTGTTTGCTTTTAGCAGATCAAGAAGTAGGCCGCAGGTGATTAAAGCATTACGATATTTCCAAGTGTAGAGGCTACTCCCCTTGCCTGACAGCAGGTAGGGCACAAGATGCAATGCCCCAAAGGAGAACAATTTTTAGAAGAAGCAAAAACTCAAGTCTACCTTTTCTTACATGGCATTGTGAAAAGAGGGGGTGCAGGGAATGAGGAAGGGGTGAACGCACAGGTTTTGATATTTTTTTTTGCTGAGCCTGAACCCAGAAGATGGGAAGCCCATGCATGTGTGTGTATACCACCAGCACGCTTGTTATTCTAGGAGTGGATTTGTTTCACAGGTTGCCCCCGTAGCATTCTGTGGGCAGCTTCATTAAAGGACAGTGGTCAACATAGCCTGGCTAGGCTGAGGAGAACCTGGGTTTGGCTTTCCTGAATCTCTCTTAACTTTCACATGACTGAAAGGGACCTAGGTGTTCCTCATGCCCTGAGGGCTGGTGGCTGAATTTTGCAGACTCTGACTGGGGAATACGGCAGGAAGGGGTTGCTTTCATGGACAAAGGAGCTATATTGCTGAGGACAGCAGGGCAGGGCTTCCTGGCCAGGCCTTGGATGTGTCCACCCTGTAAGCAAGAGCTGAGTCCGGCATCCTGAGGTACAACAGCCATAGACTTTACAGAGAGGTCCCCAACAGAATGTCCAGTGCACAGGGTCATGCCTCGGTAGTCTCCAGGGGCCAGCCCAGCCTGGGCCCTCTGCAGCAGATACCAACCTGCCTGTCTAGGACTCCAGCCGGCTCCCTCCCCTCTGCCTCCTCAAGGCTACATGAGCCACATCCTTTCTCCCGTACTCCAAGATGCATTGTAGGAGAAGCAGGGGAAGCGGGCTCAGTCTCTAAAACACTGAGCATTTACCCAGGTCATTCAAGCAGAGATGTGATGATGCCCAGGAAGTCTAAATTACTAGGTCAGATAAACATCTATTTCTCTTGCCATCAACTGGGCGAAAGCCTGTGAAAAAGACCAGATCAATTACAGAAGAATAAAAAGGCTATTTATTTTTGTACTTCGGAGTGCAGTGTAAGTGAATATTGATCCTGCTACAGTGTGTGGGTTTTTTCATGTTTCTTAAAATTCTTTTAGAAATGAACATTTCCTAGTCTTCTCTGTAAACTCCAAAGTTAGACTCCAGTTTACAAAGGCATCAGCAGGAAGCAGTGCCTCCCAAGGTGGAGGAAATATGGAAAAAAGATCTTTCCTGGCCGATTCAGAAGAGCTGAGAGTGAGCATGAGAGAATTAGCATGACAGTTTGACCGGAGCTGATAGCAAGCAGATTCGAGCAAACAGATATACATATTCTTTTAAAATCTCCTACCGTGCCTTCAAATGGTCATCCCAAATGTTTCATTTTACATTAAGTGCCAGCTTGCCTCTAGGGATGAGGATAAAAGACATTTTGAATTTAACTTCTTAATTAGGAAACACCAAAGCTGTCATTCATACTAGGAGAAAGAAGGAGCCTTCATCACCCACTGCAGATAATGAGACTTACCAGATATTAATTGTATGTGTGTTTAGCTTTGAAATGTAGTATTTAAAGTTTCGAGAATTAGAAATAGCATAGATATCACAGGCCCTGTGATGCAGTAGAGTCATTAATAAATGGGGATAGCCCTTAAAAAATAGAGTAACCAGACTTTTTTGGGGGGCAGGGTGGATAATAAATTCACTCTTCAGTCTTTAAGTACTGCACACCAGCTCTAAGGTGAAGTTGTGAAGAAGTTACCAAGTGACTTATCAGAAGCATCCTGGTTGAAAGGAGAGGGAAAGTTGCTACCATTTATTCTGTGCCAGGAACTTGAACATCTTTTCGATGTGGATTAAACCACATTTAATCCTCTTGCTATTCTCATGAAGTAGAGAAATATGTATTGATTCTGGTTATAAGAAAACTGAGGTTTCAAGAGTTAAACTGACCTGTCCACATTACCAGCTGATGTGTGTGAAGGTTGGAATACAAACCTAGATCTAAGACCCATGCTTTTTGTGTGACACCACCCTGCTGCCTCATGGGAAAGGTGAGAAAATCTCGCAGAGGGATTCCACAATTGTACTTTGTACTTCTCCTCCTTGGTAAAACTGATATCCCTGATAGATTTTTGAAAATGAAATATATCCTCCCTCTTAGATGGCCAGCAGCATGTTTGCTGGGGTCAGGTCTGTTTTATTATCTTATCCAAAACACATGGCCCAATGCTTGGTACATTGTACGTGGTCAAGTTTTTCACTGGCTGATTATAAGTAAGCATATGCTATTGGGATTGAGAAAGTAAATTAATGCAAATTTGGGGGAGTTTTTTTTTGCAGATACATAAGATTACTGATATGTCTTTGATTCATTTAGAAAATTCTTTCCCTAAAGGTATCGATGGATTGTCAGACTCCTTGATATTTATACTTATCATAACTCCTACATGATTAATAAAGAAGTAAAAAATGTTGAGGATCAGGCAAATGAACAGCTGGAGTGATCATTGTTAGAGTTTCTGAGTTTCTATTCTTTTTCTCTTAGAGGCCAGAATAAGATTTGGTTCCTAATGGATGGGCGTGGGCTCTGAAACCTGGAGAATCAGAAAGAGAATAGAACATGTGATTTAGATTTCTGAGCCACACTTAAATGGCTGGCAGCTGAGATTCAGGAATGACAGAGGCTGATCAAGCTGGAGTCATACAGTAGCTTCTATTAATAACAAGACGAGCAGAGTGGGGAGAGAGCTCAATGAATCGAACGAGAAGGGACAATGGGAGCTCAGGAGGGTAAACCTGATTACCCAGTTTCTACTGTGTCTCGTGTCCACCTGGAAATAGGCCTTGTCTCTTCCCTACCAGCCGAATTCTCAGCTGAAAATGCAAAGGTGAGACACTTAGAGAAGCCTGTTTTAATGGGGGTGGATATTATTTCTGCCTCAGTCATTTTCAGCTCGAAACCACAAGATGGCAATGTTGCATCATTCCTTGCAAGACCTTTGCCCATGGCTGTCCTGACTCCAGGTGAATTCAATTGCTAAGCAATAAATTGGGAGATGCAGGATCGTGTTGGTTTAACCAGTGAACATTATACTTGTATTTGGTACTACTGATTGTGCTTTCCATGATAAAATGTAGCATACTCCAGGAAAAGTAATACATTTTCACCCCTTGTTAGAACACTCATGTAATTCAAGTAAATAACACAGACATAGTCTGAATTTCAGTCTTCTAGACCCGGTTTTCCCCAAATCAGACTAATTAGTTTTATTCCATCTAGCCAACACCTGCTTGAGAAGAACATTTAGTGTCATAAAACAAACCACCCACCAAGGAATAAGGAAACTGAGAAAAGCCCACACACCGACGTCATGTTGCCAAGCTCAGCTCTAAAACAAAGCCTTACAACCCTCCCTGGTGGATTCTCTTGGAGGAAACTCCATTTTCTAATGTAAGTTTCTGCATGAAAAATCTCTGTTCAGAGTCATGAAATGCTCTTATGCAAACGATATTGTTGGAATCCTCTTTTCTTTAGGAGTCAATTTCTGAGGACATATTCAGGCTTAATTTTTTCACAGACCCTTGAGTCCTCTGTTTTTCAATTGTGTTTGAGGAAGAGACTAAAATGAAATTTGATGGTATGATCAAACCCCAAGGGATTTGGTGCCTTCCCGAGTATGATGGGCATAGATCAAATACTGAGTACCTTTCGACGGTTATTAAGGTGAGGTTACAAGTGTTACAGTCGTTCGCCCTAGAAAAGGTTCAGGTGTGAATGAGTTGCTTTCATGGAGGAGATTAAGGGAAAGGCTGCTGCTAGATCAGTGGCTCTCAAATTTTAGCAGGTATCAGGAACACCTGGATGACTTACCACGCCACAGCTCACTGGATTTCACCTCTAGAGTTTCCGATTCTGTAGGTCTACGGTGGGGCCCGGGGATTTGTGTTTCTGACAAGTTCACAGGTAATGGGGGTGCAGCTGGTCCAGAAGTCATGCTTTTAGAACCCTGACGCTGGACCTATTTTCTCTAAAGGACGGGTAACTGGGTGATTTTCATTTAGGTGCTTTGCAGAGAATGTTGAGAAATACTGACTCAATAGAATGAATGCTTGCTTTAGGATCTAGAGATGGGAATTCAAATATAGGCCCTATCACTTAGTTGCTAGATATATGAGGTCAATGACTTAACTTCCCATAACCTCCATCTGTCGTCTAGAAAATAGGATTGTACTCAGATATCAGGATTTGAATCCTGGCTTTGCTAATTGCTACGTGACTTTGTTCAAATTACTTAGCCACTCTGAGTCTGATTCCTTATGGGTAAAAATAGTACTTCTGAGTCGTTTTGGAAGTAAAATATTTAATATAAAGGCACTGCTCATAGACTTCGTTGCTGCTTTCCTTTTCTTTGCTAGATTGATATATGCATGCATCTGAAATCACTTTATAAAATACAAAACACCATAGAAATGTTGGTTACTGTTTCACAGAGAAATTGCTTTAGGAAAAAACCTTCCTAGATCCTTTAGATTGTCTGTTTTCCTTGACCGGCTTAGTCTGTTTGGATAAATCGGCTATTTTTAGCCAATTGTGAGTTTCTTCTTATAATTGTTTGAAATCACTGGACAAACCTGAAGTTTGCCTAATATATTCCAGGATGCAGGAGGAAGCACTGATAACGCCTGGAATTTTTTCCAGATTGGGTTGGTCAATTCTGCTTTCCCATTTTTAAAGACAAAAATAAAGAGCCAAGAGTTGAATGGCAAAATGCAGTTTGGCTTAGAGAATGGGGGTCAGCAGGGTCATGAGATACTTCTGGATCCCTTTTCATGTCCCAGGAGAGGCTGGTACCCAAGCAGAATTGACCAACTGGTTTTCACATTATGGTGTCTACATGATGTCAGTATGATTTGTTATATAGTGAAAAAGTGATTGGTCATATAACTGTTGGTTTGAAGACATTAAAGATCTAATTCTCTTTCTGCCATTGAAAGGTATTCGATATTTCACCTAAACCCATTGTTCTTGGGAAGGCACCAAACCCAAGTTGTGCAACCTTGGGTTAGTCATTTCCCTTCACTGAGCCTCAGTTTCCCCATTACAACATGAGGGATTTGCATGAGATCAGGCTTCTTATATAGCAGTCTGTAGATGGGATCCATGGATCATTTAAAACGCCAAATCTTTTGATTGTGCAATTTTATGTCAAGAGGATCTATAGCTTTCATCAGATTCTGAAAGGGGTCTGTTGCACTAAAAAAATTTAACCTCAAATGTTATTAAAGATCATAGTCAAGTCTAGGCTTGCATCTCTGCCAGTGATGCTAAATAATTGCAACTGAGTTTTCACTGACCAGGTAAAATAGATCCCGTAGCTCATTTGGTATTGTATAGATACTGCTTTTTAAGTAATGCCATCAAAAGAAATCAAATTTTAAACAGTAGTGAAAAGTTTGGAGAAAGATCAATGTCCACGGAAAGGATAAAGCCATAGAACAGCTTACTGGCATCACACAGCAGCAGTTTTGTGAATGTGCCACTGTCCATGGGGTACAGATGATGGGCCTTATCAGCATACTCACACTTGATCAGGTTTAAGGTGACAGATACTCACTAATGCAGTTTGCACGAGACTGATGAATAAACTGGAATGCCAATGTGATTATTTACAGTGAGGGATGACTTCTGTCTGTGCCTGGATAGCTCCTTTTGCAGGACTTGAGCTACATTATTAATCAGTAGATTGTTAAGGATTTAGAGCAAAAGGATACATATAGTTTTGAAAAATGTTTTTTTTTTTTTTTGGGTCAGGGTGAGGTCCCAACATCACTGATTATGTTTCAGTAAAGAATCCAGTAGGTTTTCTGTTTCCTCCTATTCAGTGTTGACTTACCTGTCAGTGGGGCTCTTTGGAAACAAATTTCCAAGTTCTTTGGGGACATGATTCACTTGGTCCCCAGATACCACCTAAAAAAGCCATTTTTTTTTTTCTTAGACAGAGTCTCGCTCTGTCACCCAGGCTGGAGTGCAGTGGCACAATCATGGCTCACTGCAAGCTCCGCCTCCCGGGTTCACGCCATTCTCCTGCCTCAGCCTCCCGAGTAGCTGGGACTACAGGTACCCACTACCACGCCCGGCTAATTTTTTGTGTTTTTAGTAGAGACGGGGTTTCACCGTGTTAACCAGGATGGTCTCCATCTCCTGACCTTGTGATCTGCCTGCCTCGGCCTCCCAAAGTGCTGGTATTACAGGCGTGAGCCACTGGGCCCAACCCAGAGAGAATATTCTTAACCATCATTGTGTGTAAGCCAAGTGAAGTTGATGAGATACAAGACATGCTTTTCTAGTCACAACACCCATTAGATTGTTAATCCATGTTGAAAGCAACTTGAGTGGCTAACTTCATATGACACAATGATCATACCATCATGATTTTTAACTTTCTTTAAACAATATTGGTGAAACTGAGGCTTTTGTTCAAATATATTTTTATCAGTTGTTCTCACTCTAAAAGCCAAGTCTCTTTTCTAGTTCCTGGGGTCTCTTCTATTTTCCATGAGAGGAGATTGATTTCTTGTTCCTCTACTAAGTTGTCAGACAAACAAATCTCTTACCGGTTTGGGGATGATAATGTTTACTCTGTGTATCTCATGTAGGCATAATGAAATCATCAGCACATTCCTGCAGAAACTTGCTCACCTGAGCAGGCATTTTCTAAATTAAATCGGTAGTGTTATAGAGTTCTAAATGTTCAGAGAGAGAGAGAGAGAGAGAGAGAGAGAACATACAATGTAAGTGTGCCTCTTGGCAAGCAAGCCTGATTTACAATAGCATGCATTTATACAAAAGACTCAAGACGTTTTTACTATTCAAGAGGATCTCCTCTCCAATTCTCACTTGGCAAACCTATATTATGATTTGATTTATAAAAATTATTTACCCCTAACTTGTCAGAAATACGCACACTGTATAAAGTGAAACTCTGAGTTGGAATTCATGCTGCCTCATTCTTGGGATGCTAGTGATGCAGAAGAAGAAAATTTCAGTAACTCAATCCTGCAAAATAGGATGCTAGATAAAGACTCCTCAACCTTTTTAGTTCCATGCAATTGTCTGCAATTTTATCAAAGTCAAGCAGGAAGTACAGACATAAAACAGGTGAGGTTTCCTTTCTCAGACCCACATTCCTCATTTGCCCCTTTTACTTCTACCCTTGAGTCCAACCACTCAGGTTATTGCCTCCAGTAGTCTTTCAATTTCCTGTAAACACCAGGGCCCTGGAAAAATGGCTAAATTTGCCCAATCTAAGGCATACTCATTGACCATGGTTTAATATGTGATCCATCCTATAAGTTATTTGCATTTTAACAGAAAAAGACCAAAGGAATACATTTCTGGTTCTAGAATTTCAGACCATGGTAAAATGGTGGGTCAAATTTGGAGGGAGAGGTATTGGGGGTGGGTGGGAGGATTTGCTTCTTCTGTCCTATTAATTCAGATGTTATTTCACATTTCAGGGCCTGAAATCTCTGCATCTGATTCTAACTGTGCAATTGACATAAATAACAAAATGGTTACTGCCACTACTTTGAGATTAAGCATGCATTAACCTGTGGGGTTATTTTATAGTAATTAAGTGACAAAATCTCTCTGACGTTGGTGTGTATATTGAAGGCTTTTGTAGTTGGTTAGCAGAGGAGTGAAGTTGAGGAGCTTAATCAACCACTCAAGTTGTTAGTTTCAACTTTATTCCAGCACCATGTTTGCTATCTATATTAGGGGAAGGCAGGAGGGAAAACTTCATCCATTGACATGTTGCACATGTGCTCTCAGTCTCACTGAAGGTTGAAGATTGCTCTTACATTTCTCACTCCCAAGCTATGCCAAGCTATGCTGCATGCTGATCTTATGGTAAGGCCAAGGATCAGCTGGGGAGTGAGTGATACTGATGAGGAGGTCAAGGTCAGTTGGGTACAGCCCGTTGGTTTTGTCCCTGCACAGAGTCTGTTTAATGCTTTCAGCCCTGCTGGAGTCATTGATCCCAGGGTGAAAAGGATGAAGGAATGCGAATGTATCCATGTAAACCATCCCAGTGTTGGAAAACATATCCAAAGGTATAATGTATTGATGGGATAGTAGTGGTATCACCTTTGTATATAAAGAATAGCACCTTCTCCCTCCCTCCCTCCCTCCTTCCCTCATCAAATATTTATTACAGCTCATACTCTATTCTGGATACTGGGTTTCATGCTGGAGAAATGCTAAGATTCACAAAAAGAAGTCTCCTGACCTCAAAGAGATTATAGTAAAGTGAGGGATAGACTGGCAAATATTTACAGTACTTTGTCATATATATTGTGCTAAGTGAATAGAGATGGTGTAATTGATTATTTCGGAAGGGAATCATAGAAGGTTTCTGAAGGAATTGTCTTTTGAGTTGGGTCTTGAAAAATGCATAGAAGTTAACCAGGTTAACTGGTTAAGGGGTGGATGATGGAGATGTTTCACTTAAAAGAAATGACTCACTACACAGAAACCTTGCACCAATAAACCAATGACCTGTGGTTTTCTGTGGCTAGAGTGTGGTCTGATGGGTAAGTGAAGTGGTAGGAGATGAAACTGTAAAAGAGGTAGGGGCCAAAGGGGGCTCCTGGGACATGTGAGAATTTTAAAAATATACCCGTTGGGCAACAGGGATCCTTCAAATATTGTATCTGGAAGAGAGTGTGGTTTGTGATCTAATTAAATTTTTAGAGCCGGCCATGGTGGCTCACGCCTGTAATCCCAGCACTTTGAGAGGCTGAGGCGGGCAGATCACAAGGTCAGGAGTTCGAGAGCAGCCTGGCCAACGTGGTGAAACCATGTCTCTACTAAAAATACAAAAATTAGCTGGGCATGGTGGCGGGCAACTGTAATCCCAGCTACTCTGGAGGCTGAGGCAGGAGAATCGCTTAAGGCTGGGGCAGGAGAATCGCTTAAACCTGAGAGGTGGAGGTTGTAGGGAGCCGAGATTGTGCCACAGAGCTCCAGTCTGGGTGACAGAGCAAGACTCTTGTCTTGGGGAAGAAAAATAATTTTCTTTTAGAAAGAGTTGGGTTAATGAATTGGAGGAAGAATTTGTGGTGTGACCAAAAAGGGAGGCTGATGTCAATGTCCAGGTGAGAGTAAAGGGACCCAAACTGAGATAACTGTAGTGAGTCTAGAAGGTAAAGGACAGCTTTAGGAGATACTCAGTATAATTGGCATGACCAACTGTATAGATGGCTGTGGATGGGGGTGGGCGGGAGTGTTATGGCACAAAAAGTAGAAAAAACTCATAAGACAGTGAACAGAAGATATTGGGGATATTTTTCTTGGAGAGAAATTCATGTAAATAAGGGCTTGTATTAAATGTTCTAGACTGTTTTCTCATCTCTGAACTCCTATTATATTTTGATAATTTGATTAGGAACCATGCCACTTACCATTGAACTATAATTTCTACTCTCCTGGATAGCGGGAATACAAAGATGAATAGACAGAATCCTTCATCTCCAGAAGCTCATAATCTATTGGCGGGGGTGGGGGGCGGTGGCGATAAGTAAACAAATAATTGCAAATGAGTATGGTATGTTGTCATCCAGGTATGTGTGAAGGACAGGCATGGTGGTATGTATTTAGGACGTTGCATTTAGGGTCTGGTGTAGAAGAGTGACATGATTAGATTCTGAGTTTTAGAAAGATTATGGAAGTCTCAAAGGTGGATTAAAGTGAGGCCAATCAAGAGCTGGAAGACCTATGAGGAGGCAGATGCTCAGTTGAAAAAGCAGCTACTTTGAGCTGCAAGGCTGGCCCTGTGGCACTGTGGAAAGGAACTATGCCTTCTGAGTTCTGGAGCTCTCACTAAGTTCTAGCATTGCCTCAGGGATCAATCTCATTATCTAACCTTGGCTTTGCCTTTGGTCATTTAGGGATCCTGAGGAGTTCTGTCTTCTTTTTTACTCCTACTGGTGATGACAGCATGCATTGGTGGTAAGGACTAGACATTGACCTTGCAATGAGAAGACAGAATGGGGAATGAGGGTAAGGGAAGTTGGTAAAATATAAGATCCAGAGAGTGCTGTTACCATCACAGTGAGATCTGGGAGCGCACTGGTAGGGGAAATTTGCATGAGGCTCCCAAATGCTTGAATGGTAGGAGAATGCAATAAAATGAGGCAGGATGGCCCTGAATGGTAAGAGCAGCAGAACATCCCTACATTTTGCCATAGTCCAACCCTTGGTGGTTCTTCAGGTAAGATTGTATATTATAGCTGTAGCAATAAAAATAACAATAAATTGGCTGCACTGGCTCACACCTGTCATCCCAGAACTTTGGGAGGCTGAGGCGAGCAGATCACTTGAGGTCAGGGGTTTGAGATTGGCCTGGTCAACATGGTGAAACCCTGTCTCTACAAAAAATACCAAAATTGGCCGAGCATCGTGGTGTACACCTGTAATGCCAGTTACTCGGGAGGCTGAGGCATGAGAATTGCTTGAACCTGGGAGGCGGAGGTTGCAGTGAGCTGGGATCACGCCACTGCATTCCAGCTTGGGCAACAGGGCGAGACTCTGTCTCAAAAATAAAATGAAGAAAAAAAAAAAAACCCAAAGTAACAATAAATTACATAGTTCTACGCATTTTACGTATATTATCTCATTTAATCATTATAGCCACTCTATGAGAAAACTGTAGCACGGAGAGGTTAATAACATGCTGAAGGTAGAGCTAGAAAGTGACAGAGCTGGACTTTCAGCCTAGGTAGCCTAGCTCCTGGATCCATGTGCTTAATCACTGTCTCCCAAACTCTATTGGCAAGGGAAGATGTCAGCCCATAAGTCCCTGGATGATGTCTGTTTCTTTATCTTAGCCATTCTAAAGTAAGTCACTCCAATGCTATGTTTGGTTTAAAATAGAGGATGAGAGGAAAGGATATTTTCCTTGTGTCTGTGAATTCCAGGTGACTGTGAATAGACAAGGAGGGAAATCAACAGGAACTGAAGGATTCCAGGATACCTATGATGCTGGCTGGACCTTTGGGGATGAGCTAACTGCATTTGAGGGAATACTGTCTTATTAGATCTAAAGGTGATGTTATTGAACCTGTGTCTTTCCTCATTAGCCTGCCCCTGGAAATGCTGGACAGCTGAAGCCACGATGACAAAGGAGAAGATTAGAGGCAACTGAGACCTGACCAAGTCACGGACCTGGCAGATGAAAAGGTGAGTCTTGTTTGAAATTACACCTCCTGGGCCCACTTCAATGCCCAAGCTTTCAGGCAGAATTGTGGTGCACACACTTTTCTTTATTTTTAAAGGTAAAACATTGATTGTTCTGGAGACAAGAAAGTCACCTTAGCTATGAACTAATGCCTCAGTTGAATGTAGGGATCAGTGTCTCCATGGCTTTCTAACCCCTGGGCAATGTTTTATAGCAATTACCTGTAAAACCAGTTGCTATAGTTACCTATTGTCTATGCTTCAAGAAGAGAAATATCTAGCTAAGCTAGTTCGCAGAAGAAATAGTTGTTGAGGTCTGACAAGAAAGAATGGGACATGCAGAAAAAGTATTTTTACCCACATAGTGACAAGTTTAGAGCATCTAGCCTACTTACAGGCCAGTGATCATGGATCTGTATCTCCTTTTCCAAGTGAATCATCCCAATTCACAAAGATGAGCCCCAAACAGCCATGTTTAAAATAGGTGGCCACGTTGCCGCCTAGTTGTAACTGATTGAATCAGGGTGAACACCTAACTCAGGCTGGGGCAATCTGATTCTGTCCCCTGGAAATCAGGACTGAAGTCTTTCCAGTCTGTCTGGAGAAATGGCAGGACCTGTTCTATGTAAGCTTGAAGGAGTGGGGACCATTTTCTATGTTATGGAATGAGGAAAAGAGAAGGCATACTTGTGGAGGGAGAATAAACGTATTTGCAGAGGAAGCAGTGGGGAGAGGAAATGTAGCTTAAGAGTTTTTTTTTAGTTCCTGTACCTTTCTGAAGCAGGATTGCATTTCTGCCTTAGAGCATTTTCTTTCTTTCTTGTATTCTTTATTATTATTACTCATTTTTTGTTCTTACTGGCATGAATTAGTTTCTGTCACTTCTCACTAAAACTTACACGGTGCTCCAATATAAGCTATGCTCAAGGCCCCCGTGATGGATTGAATTGTGTCCTCTTAAAATTATATGTTGAAGTCCTAACTCCCAGTGTCTCAGAATGTTACCATATCTAAGGACAGGGTCTTTAAAGAGGTAACTAAATTAAAGTGAGGTTTTTAGGGTGGGCCTTAATCTACAATGACTGTTAATTTATAAGAAGAGATTAGGACACAGGCATGCATGGAGGAAGACCTTGTGAAGATACTCATCTACACGCCAGGGACAGAGGCCTCAGAAGAAATCAACCCAGCCCACACCTTAATCTCAGACTTCCAGCCTCCAGCATTGTGAGAAAATGAGCTTCTGTTATTCAAGCTATCCAGTCTGTGGGACTTTGTTAGGTCAGCCCAAGCAAACGAATGCAACTGCTATGCACGGCATGAGACTATAATTCCTCCTCCCTCTGTCCCCACCAAAGTAAACTTCATAATCGACTAACTGCTGGTTCTTTTCTTAATAGTGATCCATAAAAACAATAGCAGAACGATCCTTTACTTTGGCTACAAAGCCAATAACTGGCATTCAAGGCCCCTGATGGAGTATAGCTCTAAAGGAATACATCTTCTTAATGCTCTTGTTTGGTTTAAATTAAAAGTGTTCAGCTTCATGCCTTCTCAAGGAAAGGTGCTTGCTAAAGCTTTAATTCTACATGGGAAAATGATTGCTTTTTCACTAATTGGAATGAATAGGAACCCTTTCTTCAATTCATTAAAACTCAAGTGAAAACAAAGCGAGTCACTTTGCAGAAAGAAGTACAGGAACTTGCAGATTCCTCCCTACTGCCTTTGAGTTCTGAGGTCAGTGTATGAAAAGTCATTTTCATCAGTTATCATCACATTAGAGAATTAGGCAAAGAAAAGCATCCAGGTTTTTCTTACTTTTAATCAGGACAAGGTATAGGAGAATGCTGTTGACATTTCAAAAAAAATATCAGAGAAGTGAAGGCCAAGAGTGAATAGAAAAAGATGTTGATTTAATTGAACTACAGTGGCATTTAAGAGGTCGCTGAGCAGAGACAAGGTGCAAAGGAAATAGGAATAGTTTATAGACTCATAACACAGTATGTGCCAATAGAAGCAGCCACTGAAAGGATTCTGTCATTTGTGTGTGTGCCCGAAGGCAGTTTTGGTTTTTGTGAAAGGAGGAAAGGAGGATTTTATTTGGAAAATTTTGTGGTTTTCACATGTTCCTGCAAAGGAGACTAGACATGGCAAATAAGTTTCAACTCATATGCAGCTCTGAATATGTGGATTATTATCTCCCTGGAGGATTGTGTTGGGATGGGTGATTTTTGTATTTTTTAGTAGAGATGGGATTTCTCCATGTTGGTCAGGCTAGTCTTGAACTCCCAACCTCAGGTGATCCTCCTGCCTTGGTTTCCCAAAGTGCTGGGATTACAGGTGTGAGCAAGCGCACCCAGCCTGTTATTTCTATTTTACTAGTATGAAAACGTGGGTTTAAGGAGGCTTAAGGAGGTTGAGTAATGTTCTCAAGGCCATATTTTCACATATGGAGGAGCTAGGGCAGGAACCCTCACCATTCTGATGCCAAAGTCAGATCCTTAACTCCAACCGACTCCTTCTAAGACATGACTATATCCAGCGATGTCAATGTGTTAGCAAGTAAGATAATGTCTGTGGGAGTGGTTTAGAAATTATGTCAAGGTAGGATTATGATTGTCATCAACAAGAAGGACTATGTTAATTGAATTTTTCTCTGATTTATAACACCAGCAGTTTTTTTCCCCCAAATAAGTAAATTTGCTTTCTCTAGCTCCTTAAAAAGGGAGATTTTCATGCCTATGACTTTGATCAGAGCTGCTGGAGAGTTTCCAAATTAGATTAAAATAACATATTCAGGGATTAGTCCTGAAGAACAGAAACCTAGCCTTCATCGAAGGGAAGGTACCAATTAGCATTTCAGAATACTAAACATCCTAGGTACTGGTTGGCAATTATTCTCAACAAAGATTTATAGATGTTGATGTGTCAGAAACTGAATTGGGTAACAGGTGTATAAAAATAATTTAGACATGGTTCCTACCTTAAAGGGCACAGAATTTGGTGGAGGAAGAGAATATATAAGCAATGTTTTCTAAGTTGTCTGGGGAATTTATGTTCATAGAAGAAATGACATTTAATCTAGATCTTGATAGATGGCCTGAGAAAAGTAGAAAATGCTCTAAATGGAAAGAGAAAGAACAAATCACAAGGACCTAATGAGTTAAGTTATTTATTGATTAAATAAAGTTGTTTGAGAGGGTTAGAGCTTAGAACACACAGGGTCAAGTTTCTGGAGATAAACTTGGGCAGGAAGGCTCTGCTGAGAATCATGCTAAGAAATTTGGACCGTATTCCAGAGACAATAGGGAGCTATGGAAGGTTTTAGACAAAAGGGTAACTGTTTAGAAAGATAACTTGGCATCTTTATGGAGGATTAATATGGAGGAGGGTTGAGCCTGAAGGCAGAACAGTTGATCGAATATTCCAGATAGTCCAAGTGAGGTCTGAATATTGTGGGAGAGGATGGATTTAAGAGACATTTTAGATAAAAAATTGGCAGTGTTTGGTGATTCAAAATAAAGAGGTAGGATAAAAGAAGAAGTTCAAATTCTGTTATTTAGTCCTTATGATGTGCCCGTGCTGTGTTAAGCACTACAGATACAAAAACAATTAAGGAATGGCTCTGTGTTTAAGTAGCTAGAAAGAAATAAAAGTATAATAAGTACATACAATATAATATTATGCTTGCAAAGATAGATAATGTGTAAAGAATCAACACACAGGAGTCTGCCAAGAATGATTCTACGTTTTCTAGCTCTAGGGACTGGTTGGTTGTTGTTGTCTTTGAAAGAGAGAGAGAGAGAGAGAGAAAGGAATAGGAGTAGGTTTCTGGAGGGTTCTAAAGCATTGGTTTTGGTGTATACAAGGCAGTTGGAACTTAAGATATTCTTGCCGTAGTCAGACACAATCTAGCTCATTCTGGATTTGCAAGAGTTACAGAAAAAGGAAAACAGTAATTGTCTTTTTTAAAATAAAAACCCCGCTGGCATGATATCTTTCCTTTTAAATGGCTTTGTTATGAATATAAAGAGAGAGAAAGACTATTAAATGCCTCTTTACCTCCCACAGTACTGATCTGGGTTCTAAAAATTCTTCCTGCACTAATTATGAGGGTTCTGCCTATTCACCCTGAAAACTTCTGGTTCAATTATTATTATTATATTTGTAGAATTAGCACTGAATGCTAAGCTTGTTTTTATTTTGTAGGCAAGAGACAATCTTAAGATATTTAGAGGGTCTCATAATCAGCATTGCTTTCTAAAGTCCAGGTAACCTGTACCTTTTCAGTGACCTGTACTTTATATGGATTAGACAGTAATTTATAGGTAAGTGAAGATTTTTGCAAACTATTTGATAGTCTGCAAAGATTAATAAAAGAGCCATGTACAAATATGTGAACTTAAACAACTGTCTGGAAAGCAAGTTTAACAAAAGCCAAAAATGAGTACAGTATCAAAATTAGCTAAGAAATTATTCTAAACTCTGTAACATTTTTCTTTTGCAAATAGAAAATTTCTTCTAGGGAGGTCAAGGAACTAGGATAATACTGCCCCACTTTCAGCACTCATTTGGAGCCTCAAATATGTGAGTTCACTAGAGAATAATTATAACCCTGATGTTAGGAATCATGGATGACATATGATTATAGGTTTTCCATATAATAATGGGAGGGAAGCTTTATGCCTCACTGTGTTCAGAAGAAAAGAGATTACAACTTGGAAATGAGCATGAACGGATCTGGGCCATCACTTATATGAGCACAAAGAAGGCATCTGAGGCCAGCTGTATTAGGGTGGAATGTTCTCAGCCTTTTGGTTTTCATGGACCCACTGAGTGGTGAGGTTTCGGTGGGGAAAGCTACTATCACTGTGCTTTAGGAATGGACAGTTTAACACCCAAATACAGGAAGGACATTGTGTGGCAGTGACTGCTGCACGTTCAACAGAAGCCACAGCCAGACTACAGTTCCCAG